CGGACCAGGCTTGACATTTCAAGATATTTTCTGTCTCGCTATGAGGATGAACTTGATTGTATCTACCGGATTGTAACTCAGGATGAAACATGTGTCCATCGATTCGATCCAGAATAAAAAAGAGAGCATGCAGTGGAAGCAACCTGGTTCACCCTTCCGAAGAAACATGTGACAAATTAATATTGATTTACAGACATTAATTAGAAATATATAAACAATTCAGTCTTAAAGATGTACTTAAGAATCTAACAGTTGTCTAATACGAAACTATCAGAAATAAATATGACTCAAAGTAACAATTATTAAGCATGAACAATTGACAAAAACAATGTCCACTTGTACAGATTAACCAGGTACGAAAACAAAAGACTAGTCAACTTACAATGAAATTTGTTCCTGCATACTTCTAGTATAAGTTAAAGAGCAATAAGTGAGGGTAGTATTCTATAAACTAACGGCGATAATACAAACTACAGAGGCGGGAACCTATTAGATTAGTACAAGCATCGTCAACTTGATGACAGGAATGGATCACAGTTCATACCAAGATGCACATAGATAGATATGTTTCACAGATTTTTTGTATTATCAAGATATAATTCTCTCTCACGACCATTATTTCTCCGTTCATCAAAACCATTACAGACTCAGTTCATTTTTCTGCATTATAGCTATAGCGACACCGCTTTGAATATTCACTAAATATCTCAAGCAAAGAATTAAGTCCATTCACAGAATAAGACACTAAGAACATATCGTCTGCTACGGCTAACATTACAAACACAGATACCAAACCCACATTTCTCTAACTAATCTATAAGCCCGTTTATTATAGGAGATACAACATCGAGGATGTTTTAACCCCTTGCCTTGTGCCTTGAAGTACTCCGAACCATTCTGAAAGCTTACCCTGACATCTGTCAAAAAACGATAATGACAAAACAGTTTCTTTTGAAACGTAAAATAAAAATATTTTGACCACAGAGAAAATATGTTACATTTTAAACTCTTCACACACTACAGGTTATCACAGTACGACTCCATAGTGTCATTAAAAAACTGGCAGTTTTTATAAGAACAGACCAAATTAATTTGAGAAAAATATAGAATGCACCTTCCAAAACATAGTTTATACATTTGCTTATTCAAATTAGGCATATTCAGGAAGAATTTACTAGATTTCATTTTTTTTTTTTTTTTTTTTTTTGCAAAAAAAAAATCACCTCAAGATGAGCAAAGTATATCTTTAAAATTCATTCAACATATATATAATTAGTTAATTACCTACCTACAAACGCGTATATCTGTCAACGTCAAAGCAGCATTCTATTCATATATGATTAGTAATGCATTAATACATTTTATAAACTATTAAATATGACTATAGAATCAATATTAAATTGTAATAAATTATCATAGTAAATACATTGTAAGTGAGTTGAAAAATTGCTATGAACAATGTCATGATATGATGTATATCCGGCCTGGCTCTTTCAAACCGGACTTAAATAGACAAAAAATAGATCTTATTATTTTTACACGAAGATCTATCTGATCGTTCTCCTTTATCATTCCAATAGGATCTGATAAGCCAATCAATCAATTTTCCGATATAGGCATAATTTAAGGAAATCTTCATCTATAGAAGTCAGATAATATTGCGAGAACGAGTCCTTGGGTACGCAATTTCTCCGCTAGTTTGCCTCAATGTTCAGGATATTTATTAGACAGTGAGCATTCTATGTCAGTTTCTAAACAATCATATACTTTTGATTGAAGATTAAGCTTTGTAAAATTGGTTATTTCCTAAAATCCCGTGCTTATAAAGTACACAACATCCTTGGAAGTACAAGATAAGGTCATTTAAATGATCTGCACTAAATTACATTTTACTCACATCAAATTTTCTCGAATTCAAACAAGCTTACGGGTAAATGACGAAAGCTATATTTACATTGAAATAAAGGTTTAACTCAGTTAGGTCGTTTGAAAAACGACTGGATTATTTACATTTAGTGTTCTTTAAGCAGTATAACTCCCCTAAAGTGACTATTTGTAAAATAATCTGAAAAAAATGTGATCCCTCGGAAGCATTGATCACAACAAAAATTGCAGACTCGGTTTGACTGAGTCTGGTCAATTTGATAAAGAAAAAGTGCAACATTCCTCATGTCCCCATAGCACTGGCTTCAGCGGTATTCAATTTTCAACAAGTGCTGCAAAGATTGTTACTATCGTACGGAAGAGCATAAGTGCCAGGTGTGTGTTGTTTATCAACTCGAAATTTCGACTTATCTATTCAAAATTTCGACTTATTTACTCGAAATTTCGACTCACTAACTCGAAAATTTGACTTATTAACTCAAAATTTCGACTTATTAATTCGTCATTACGAGTAAGTTAGTCGAAAGTTTGACTTATTTACTCGAACTTTTGACTTACTTTATCGAAATATTGACCTACTTACTCGAAATTCGACTTACTTACTCAAAATTCCGACATATTTAATACTCAAAATTACGACTAAATTACTCGAAATATCGACTTATTTACTCGAACTTTTGAGTTTCTCAATTCGCATCTTTTCAATTATTAATTACGACGTGTTGAGAAGCAAGGCATTTCAGAATTTCATTATTGCTGAACCGAGATTGAAATAGCTTTTACACAATCGCTCCAGGTTCTCAAGCTCCTTCTTACAATTGCACTTCCTACTACATCTTATATTATCTAACTCTTGGTAACTCGTAGATTTTTGGCCATTCTAGTAATGTAACTTAGTCGAAATTTTGAGTTACTTTGTCGACATTTTGAGTTAATAAGACGAAATTTTGAGTTAGTAAGTCGAATTTCAAGTTACTAAGTCAAATGTTAAGTATGTAAGTCGAAATTTCGAGATATGTTACTTAAAATTACAAGTTACTAGTAGTAAGTAGAAATTTCAAGTAAATGAAAAACACATCTGGCACTTATGCCCTTCCGTACTATCGACATAAGCACGATGTAAAATTGAACATTAATATTTTGTTGATATAATTGTGGTTTTGTAAATACAGTAGCATTGAAATGTAAATTAGGTGAATCTTTCTGATAAAGTACGAAACATACAAACACATAAAAATACAGAAACATCCTGATTGTATTTATTTATAACAGGGATAACGAATCCGACATCCTGGTTAGAAAGAAAGATTTAAAGAAAGATTAACTATATTAAGGCTGTTGTAAAATTGAAACATCACTTTTTTAATATTCTATTTATCCCATACCAAAAATAAAGACCTTTTAAAGTGAAATAAGAGTCATTTTTCATTGACGCGCCTATAGTTTATAACGCTAACATTAAATTAAAATTCATAGGAAGGCAATTTAACGGCTTCCGATACGTGAAAAATTTATTTCATTTTTTTATTTATAAACAAAACTCATGGCCATTCAGGGCATAAGAGTGAACAAACAAACAATTCAAAAAATAATAAACATGGCATGAATGGAAATAAGTAAATTAGGAAGAAGACTTTAAACATTTTTGTTTTAACAAAAATTGCTAGATTCTGTTATGGCTCCACATTAGAGCCTGAAAAATTAAAATACAATGATACATTGAATAGTAATTACTAAATTAATATACTTGTGTCTTTCATGAGTAAAATATCTACATTTAAAAATGTAGTGAAATTCATCTCCTATTTCCTGCTGGTTACAAAGCGTATCATATTTTCTCTTTTAATACCAAAATAGCGACCTTTCTCTAAAGGAATATCAGAATTGAGAAATCTAAATTTACAAAAAAAGCTTTATTTCTAAATTTCTTGGTAAACATAGTAAATAATGTTCTAACTTAAATTGAGTTTTATATATTCTATAATTCAAATACTTTGCAGAATTGAAAACATCACTAGTCCAAATTTATTACATATTTAAAGTTCATAAAATTTGTAACATTCTAAGTTATCCAAAACTTAGAACAACCAATATTATTCAAAGAAAATTTTACTTTCTCAATCCACTGACAATGTAAACTACCCTTTTCATGAAGAGTGTGCATAGTGCGGTACAAAGAAGCACATATTTTATCATTTTTACCATTAACTAGTTTACTAAGTAAAATCATTTGCAATAGGAAATGCACATAATTCTCTCATGACCATAACCGAAGGATTTGACATCTTAAGTTTAAGTATATATTTATAAAATTCCAATTGAAACAGAGAAATAATAGAATTTTTTTCAATTCCCCAATACAATAATATTGGCTCAACCATCATGTCAAACAACTGAAACTGAATACCGATTGGAAAACACAGTTTCTGAATTTTAGTAAAAATACTAAACATAGCCTTCCTAGCTTGATCTGTCAAGTGCTTTTTTGTTATTCGAGAGTCATTGACAAGCTGTAGTGACGTCATCGTCACTTGCATATTTTTCAATTTTGCAGTTTTGGGCGTTCATTAAGTTTTCATGTTATCTATAATAATTTTTATTTTGAAGAAATGTTAAGAGAGAGTATACAAATCGTAAAGTTATCAATATGTAAGGAATTGTAGGCGGTGTTTTTAATTAATCTGTGGTGCCTGTCCTTTTAACATATTGCTGGATAAGATTCTAATACTTTGTAAATATATATAATGGTCTTTGTTTATATTTTCAAGAATCAGTCGGTGTTCCTTAAAAATTTTGATTTCAAATTGAATGAAAGACAAGACAAGAAATGTTTATGATAATTGCACAGGATAAATTGATTTGTAGCAGAAGTCAAACTCTTTTTCAGCGTTGAGCCATTGCATTAACAATTAAGTGTACTTGATGATAAATTTACAGTTGTGTAGGCGTTCGTTTTATAAACCAGCCCCTTTATGTTAATATAACGAATCAGATTATGGTAACAGGGTGGAACAAGCGTAACTGACATTTCTAGTAGGTGGTTACGCTTGAAAATATTACTATTCCATAAGTCATTGATGCGTTACTATTGTTTGAGCGTATAAATAAACGTAAAAGCAGTCAAATACAACATACGTTATATCGACATTTGTTAAGGAAACGTAGATTTACTACAAACTCCAAAAATGTTATCTTTGAGGGCTCTGACAGCTTTCCTCGTATTGGGCTATACTAGTATCGACTTTGTTCAATCGTGTCAATTGGAGACATCAGCTGACAGGTAAATGGATTTTTTTTATTTTGTTTAGATTTGTTTCTAGCCATATCATGTTTGTTGCTTACTTTTAATTAATATATACATATATTGGCAAGACATGAATATAACACATCCAGTAAAACAGGATTCACTTATCAAAAAATTTGTGTACAAAAATATTTAACATTTAGATTTAAAAAATTAACCCTGCTTTTTTTCGGACGAAGCTCGTCTGAGAAAAGTCCGACTTCCTGTAAAATATACAGGAAAGAACTGAATTTAGATAGGCTTTTCATTGTTTAATCAAACATTACGATCTGAAATCATTGGATGTCATTGGTTATGGCATTGGTAAAATTTATAAACGAATATAAAGGATATATCTGAGACGTCTAAATGCCAAAATAATTTAAAGTGTCGGAAACAAAGTTTAAAGTTAAGTGTTCGGATATGTTTTACCTGTCTGTCGTGCTTCCTCACCTTAAAGATTTTACATCAGTTAACACTGCTTTTAAACATCATTAATTCTGAAATGAATAGGTTTTCAAACGAGAGAATTAACTGTGATATGACATTATAGATCTTTAAATTTGTCTACAATAACGAGCTTACTTATAACGATCCCGGAAATCCACATAAAAAAGACCAAATATACAACATTAAAATCCCCGAGATCGTATGATAATCTCAGAAGATTTGTTAGTATTTATGATCTTAAACTATTATTGGTGTGTTCCATTAATTTTACTCTCAGGATTCTAATAATTGTATATTTCCATATTAAGGAAACACATATTGAAGTGTACATGAATACGAGATTATAAGGTACGAGACCATCAAGACAGTTACATTTAGAAACATATATTTCAGTGTACCTATACCTAACCATAAAATGCTATGTCAACTGTGTTAGGTTTAAATACAAAATAATATAAAAAGGATGGAGGTTACTTTGAATCCTTCGGATTTAAAGAGTCTTCTGGTCTTTGAATTATTGTCCCAGATTCAAGGGTTAAGTATATAGACAAAACGTTTTAAACTTTCTATTCAATTTTGATTTTTCATTACATTTCATTAAAAAGCTAAATATTTCTCGATTATTTATGTTTTAAAAAGAATGGGAATCTAAAATTGCATGCATCATCTATAAAAGATATTCATGATGGGGAAAGAAATTAAATCGAATATTGTTGAGTACGAATCAAATTATTGTCAATGAGAATGTAAATACGCAGACGTAATTATTATCAACATATTTGGACGTATACCGCGGATGTGAAGCTATTTTTACATTCATTTTGGTTAAATCCGCTAAAATTGTCAAACGTATGAAAGACTGTAAATAATAGAATGAAAAAAAAAAGAGACTCTTTCAATGATGGTTTGCGTCATTATTAAACGAGCGATCGGATATCACTCCTTCGCGTATTCAAGTCCGAAATAACATATGCAAGTAAAAGGAGGTTTACTTCGGTCGGATACATCTTTTCAAGTAATATGTATGATATCATGATTATCTGTTTTGAGTTTCTAAAGTTTACATTATATAAACGTATTTGTACTAAAAGCTAATTTTACCATAACCAAACTATTTTCGGTAAACTTCAACCATCAATAAATTTTACATTACTTTATATTCATCATTGTCATTAATATCATATATTAAGCAACTTGATGCGATGTCAATACTCATGTGTATACCATATCTTAATATATCAGAAATAGAGTGTAGAAATGTTGTGATAAATCTTTCACTGTTGTTGCCGTTTGAGTGAATGATAAGAAAAGAAAAAAGATATGCTATAATTTACCTATTTTGAAAATCTTTACTTATTTTAAAAAATGCCATAGCTTTTCTTATTGATGTTGTTTATCTGAAAATAGCCTAAATGCTAATTTCTATAAAACTAAGATAAATATATAGGATTTAAATGAATTGTATTTCAAATATTCATATAACAAGAATTGTCGTTGGAAACAGACAAATTCCCCCAAGCAGGGACAAGGCATGGTTACTCAAAAGAGAGTGTGACCAGAAAATACAGATATAAACAAGTATTTTCGCATGTTCTCTGTGAGCGGACTTACTTAAAAAAACGCACGGGCATGAATGGCAAAGATATGACCAGACACAGCCACTAATGTTTTGACATTCAAGTATAATATTCACCATTTAAAACTGTTACACTGGCGTTTAAGTGTGATACGTTTGCTTTATATAACTCAGAATTATGTATAGTTATTTTAAAAATTTGTTTATGGATGGCAGAACTGATGTTTGAATGTAGCCATCGATGTACTGTTATGAAACTATTTTTCTTAGTCCTAGCTAGATATTTTACGTCAAATTATTACGAAATCTGTCACTGAATGACAAAAAGACATGGACTGGACAATCAACATAATGCTTACGCATTTATGCCAAATTGTTTTAAAATCCATCCAAGGATGACAGAATTGTTGACCCGACATAACCATCAATGCTCTTATATGAAAACAAAATCAAATCATGACTTTGGAATAAAGGTGTGATGTAGGGACCTGATTTATGCAAGCGACACATTGCCATTATGTCCAACACATGTATTCCAAATTATTTTTTCAATCCGTTCATATAAAAATTCATATCATGACTTTTGGTCTTAATGACTACACGTATCATGACATTGACCTTTGTGTTAGGAGCCCGATTCTTGCGCTTGACACGTCGTCATTATGTTCAACACAAATATGCATAAAAAAATTTTATCCATCGAGGAATGACAAAATTGTTGACCGGACACTAACACCAGTGTACCTCTATAAAATTCATATCCTGAAAATTAATCTACAAATGAGACCTTGACCTTTGAGAAATAGAGGATATTTGTTTTGTTCAGTGTAAGATCGGAGTATATTTCACCGAGTGAGCACCAAAAGGTATATTTCACGAGTGGCGCAGCCACGAGTGAAATATGAACTTTTGGTGTTCACAAGGTGAAATATATTTCAATCTTACACTAAACTAAACAAATTTTCTTTTTATTATATGCAAAGAAACGTTTAAAAAAAGACATTTAACCTAATACTGAATGAAAAGCGCGCCAAATAATAATACAACGTGACGTCATTTACGACGTCACGTCATTAAGTTGGTACCCAGTACTGTGCACGCTGGTATTTCACTGAAACAACATAAGGGGCTTAAATTCAAAACAGTGAAATTATCAAAGTGGTAATTTCACTGTTTCAAACAGTGAAATTACCAGTTTTATATCACTGATATATTTCTATAAACGCGAAAAGCATGTAATAAAGGGGCGCAATTTCTGCGACCGACACGTCGTCGTTATGTCCAACACAATTATGCGTAATATTTTTATCCACCCAGGAATGAAAGAATCGTGACCAGAAACGAAAATCCTTTTTCAAAAATCATCTGACTACAGAATGCTTCAAACCTAGATCTTACACATGACACAGTGTCCCAATTTGCTAAACATTTATGGTTGAAAACCAGCGACAGTAGGAATTTTAATTGATATATAAGTTCTTAATCGTTTAAATATGTCCAATATAGACTAAACTTCATATAATATTTTTTTGAATATTTCATTTTACATAACAGTGGTACATGTAGGAATGTACTGAAGACAGAGGATTTAGAGCAAGATGGTTGGAGGATGGTATTTAGAGGGACATCTGGCAATGGTCACAGTGTTTACCATGCTTGGATTGACGGTATTTTATACCTAAAATCAATTTTTACAATAAACATTTTTTCTCGTTAACCTGTCTTTGCAATTTTCATTTTTAAACTTTTCTTTCAATGTTCTCAAAGGATCTTATCTTGATTGTTTTTTATTTTCACAACAGCTGGTTTCAAATGTTGAATGGAAGCTGTAATAAGCTGCTTTGTACTTTACTTCAATATTGATATATTTTTGGACCTTCGGGGTCATTGTTACCCATAGTATTGTGTCGAATATACTGCCTAAGCCGGTGCAATTGCCATTCTCTATTATTATTAAAGTCAATCAATTTCCCTTAATTCTCTCTTTTGATCGGACACGATCCATGTTTATTCTCTCTTATGATTTTCATTCTCTATTATGATCGGACGCAATCAGTTTCCCTTCTCTCTTATGATTGGACTCAATCAATTTCTATTCTCCCTTTTAATTGGACTCAATCAATTTCCATTCTCTCTTTTGATTGGACTGGACTCAATCAATTCCATTCTCTCTTATGATTGGACTCAATCAATTTCCATTCTCTCTTTTGGTTTGACTCAATCAATTTCCATTCTCTCTTTTGGTTTGACTCAATCAATTTTCATTCTCTCTTATAATTGGACTCAATCAATGTTCATCACTCTTATGATCGGACTCAATCAAATTGAGTCTGCAGCTCTTAAGAGATCTCCCTTTTTGAAGCAAACAAGTAAACGGGATAAATTCAAACATAATTTCTTAAGATAAATAAATAGAAATATACTCTCTCCCTTACAACAAAAAGAATATTCAACACACTGACAGTCTTCAGGTCTACCTTAACATTGTAATATCAAGCTAAGTTTCTATTGTCATATGACACTAAACGTCTCTTTTCAGTCTACATTTTATAAATATCTAGCCCTGGTGTACATAAACCTAAATTTTATTATTCCTTACTATCATTAGCTGATTTAAAATACGTTAAATACTTAATTGAAATAAAAAAAAATGGAAAATACATATTAATCATAATCTAAAGATTTAAACTGTTAGGAATTAACAGTGATTGGTTGCAGTTTTGAGTAATTTTTAGCACATAAAATTTAGTTTCATAATTGTGCAATGATAGATATAGTATTTTTGTGACATGTATCAACAAATAAAGCATTAGACACACCGCTTTAACCAAAAGATTATCAAATATTGTTATTTATTGAAAACTCTTTTCTATCTCTTTTTTTATGCTCCCCGAAAAATTTCGGGGGAGCATATAGTCGGCGCCTTGTCCGTCTGTCCGTCTGTCCGTCCGTCCGTCTGTCCGTCCGTTTTCTTGTCCGGAGCATAACTTGAAAACCCTTGGAGATAATTTGTTTAAACTTCATACAGTGGTACAGGGCATTGAGGGGGAGTGCAGTGTCAAAGAACCATAACTCTATTTTGCCCGGTTTTTGAATTATCTCCCCTTATAGAAAAATCTTGTCCGGGGCATAACTCTAAAACTATAAGAGATATCAACATGAAACTTTGTAGGTGAATAGATCTCAATGGGTAGATGTGCAGTGCATAAGAACAATAACTCTTTTTGTCCTAATTTTGGAGTTATTGCCCTTTGTTATTTCGGCACTTTGAACTTTGTCCGGAACATAACTCGAAAACTATAAGAGATATCAAGATGAATCATTGTAGGTAGATAGATCTCATTGAGTAGAAGTGCAGTGCAAAAGAACCATAACTCTGTTAAGCGTCATTTTTGAATTATCTCCCCTTATAGAAAAATCTTGTCCGGGGCATAACTCTAAAACTATAAGAGATATCAACATGAAACTTTGTAGGTGAATAGATCTCAATGGGTAGATGTGCAATGCATAAGAACAATAACTCTTTTTGTCCTAATTTTGGAGTTATTGCCCTTTGTTAATTTTAACACTGAACTTTGTCCGGAACATAACTCTAAAATTATAAGAGATATCAAGATGAAACATTGTAGGTAGATATATCTCATTGAGTAGAAGTGCAATGCAAAAAAAAACATAACTCTGTTAAGCCTCATTTTTGAATTATCTCCCCTTTTAGAAAAATCTTGTACTGGACATAGCTGTAAAACTATAAGAGATATCAACATGAAACTTTGTAGGTAGATGTATCTCAATGGGTAGATGTGCAGTGCACGAGAATCATAACTCTGCCTTGCCTAATTCTGGAGTTATTGTCATTTGTTTATTTTTACTTTTTGAAGTTGTCCGGAACATAACTCGGAAACCATAAGAAATATCAACAAGAAACTTTGTAAGTTGATAGATAACAGTGATTAGAAGTGCAGTGGAAAGAACAGTAACTCTGCTTTTCCTAATTTTGGAATTATTGCACTTTGAACTTTTTCCAGGGACATAACTCTGAAACTACAAGAGGTGTACTTTCCTGTGTCCAAAACCTATTCGGGGAGCATCACCCGGCTCAAACCGGGCTCTTGTTTATTTTGTTGCTATTGATTTAATTTTGCTACATTGATATCCTTATTTACCTATCTTTCATTTGTATCATAATTGTCAGTATTATGCAGTAAAGTGTTATTTCTGTGTATACATATATTTTGTAATTTTCAGGAAAGAATTCAAATCCAGACAAACCAATTTCAATGAAACGTTCTCATGGTTTACATTATCGGGATAACATCTTAAACCACTGGTCCCACCTTGGTATCAAGCTGGTGAAGTTTGCATTCTATAATGCTGACAAAGAAGTGGCATACGTGATCTTCAACGGGTGGGACAGCGACATACGCAGCTGGTTTGATAAGAAACGTGTGATCGATTCAAGCTGGGGAGACCTGACGTCAAAAAGTGCCTTCAACTATTTCTCTATACCAGGTCACTATCGCAATGACCTTGATCGTCGTTTCTTCATCAACAAAAGTTATGGCGGATGTCCAAATGACCGTGGCTACCTTGCAGTTATCAATTCAGCTGTTGCCTCCCCTGCATGTTTGTTTGATGACCACCCATCCTACCCAGCGTTCATATATTCAAAATTTAATTCGGCCGACTTCTTTCAGAGGAGAATGTTTGGTACTGCAGATTTCATGGTGGTTTTAATAAAGACATGAATGTTGCGTATCAATTCCTAAAAATCCAACGGCATCATATATTTGCTTCTTCTTTTCTTATACTTATTAACTTCTTTCAACATATCAAGTTCACAATTTATGTGATATAAACTGTAATATGTAGTTTTAAGATTCTTCTCTGGTTTATTTTTTTCTTCTGATATATCTAAAAAATATGTGGCATATAAAACCTGATTAGTACTGTGATCATGTACATGTACATCTTCAAATAAAGTGGAGCAAGCAATTCTTTAACAATGTCCATTTTATCTATCTTATACAGAAATAAAGTTTTAAAATGTACAATACATATAAGTTTACACTTCGCCGATCCTGAAAACGACCATGTCACATGGTCATTTTGAAATATTTTTACTTCACTTACTAGGCTGATATTCCATTTTGCCAAAATTATGGCCGGCACATTCTGCTTCACTCCACAAAATGGCCGCCAAAGCTATAAATAAAGTATTGTCTGGCGTTCACAAGTCAAACTCATCGAATATATCCAGTAACGCAGGATTGTACAAATAACTCAGGAATTGTGCAGAGGTAACGCAGAATTGTGCAAATTAGTGGCTAAAATGAGCACCGAGATATGTAAATTGACCTGTATTTTTTTTTATAATTTGTACACCAAATTGGAAGAAATGAATAAGTGCATACGGTTGATGAGACATTATACTTTAAACCTCATCAAAAATATTTCCATAAAAATGTTTATTTTTCAAGATAATTCGTGAAAATGACGACCTGACTAGCGTATTGATGGCAATTTTTAGTTCCGTTGATATCTTCAGATACAATAACGTACATACAACTTTATGATTTTTTATATTCGGTGTACCTGAGACATTTTCCAATCTTCTCGTGTCATATTACACTTAATTTAGCAGATAAAACGTAACTGAGACCATTTTTACGAGGTATCGCCGAATTTGTGAATGAAGCACTGAAACAACCGCGGTTTTCTCATTAACAGTAGCTAAATCCTATTTTACCAACTTCTTTCTATTGTTGTATCATAGTTTGGAGACCTTTATGTTGAAAATGTGTCAGGGTTAAATCGTATACATATAAATGCACAGTGCGTTAACTGGAGTGCGGGTATTAGTTACCCGCACTCCAGAGCATGCCCATTGATTGGCTCATTTTTGCTGGGGTTTACATGTTGTGACGGCAGAAAAAGGGTAAGCGACAGAAATGTCATATTAAGATGTTCGTTCATTGGTTCATTTTTGCCGGGGTTTCAAATTGTGACAACAGGGAACGTGCTTTTATGTTTGACTATGATACAAAAGAGAAAGAACACCAAAACACTCGGCAATCTGATTAATACTCGGGGGCTACGCCCCCTCGTACAAATCAGATAGCTTCGTGTGTCGGTGCTCTTTCTATTACTTATACGACACTTGTAGTTTGACAAATGTCATAGGTATATAGAATATAAAAATAAATAATGTTTTAAATGTGTAAAATGTACATATTTACGTGACGAAATACAAAAGTCACCTTCAAAACTCAGGTTGATTTCTCACGAATGATCTAAAAAAGTAAACATATATTCCTCCCCCCCCCCCCCCCCCTCACCACAAACTTTATCTTTTTTTATATGAGTATTCTTGTTATTCGTGAATAAGACTAGAGTAATCGTTCTTCAATTTAACAAATGAACACAGCAAACAAACATGAATGTTTAATTTATTAACATAAAATACAATGAATATTATCATAATTAATAGAAAATATTTGCCATTTTTCAACATATGCATGTAATGCATTCAATTAAATCTGTTGTCTGAAAACGACGGGAAAATTTCCTAAAATTGAATTAACAATTTAAGATTTGTAAGCATTGGATTTAAATCATCAAACAGAACATATTATATTGTATTATAATATTTGGACTCGTACACAGCTTGAAAAGTCATATTGGACGAGCCGATAGCCAAATATAGACCGTATTGTACAGTAAAATGTATAATAACCTTTTTATTCTATATCTTTCGTTTAATTTGAAATATCATCATCATCATCAACAAAACCATCACCAATATCATAACCCAAACCACCACCATTATCATCAACAAAACCACTACCACTATCATCAACACCATCAATATAATCACCAAAACCACCACCACTACCACCATTATCAATAATAGCCCCGTGACCCCTGTCAATTTTTTTTAGAGCAAAAGGTAATAATTCATGAAGGATTTTGTTGTATACATACATAAGTTTTAGGATTTGACTGATACAACGAATACTCTTTACAAGTTATTGAAGACGGAGGATTTAGAGCAAGATGGTTGGAGGATGGTATTTAGAGGGACATCTGGCAATGGTCATAGTGTTTACCATGCTTGGATTGACGGTATTTTATACCTAAAACAATTTTTACAATAAACATTTTTTTCGTTAACATGTCTTTGCAATTTTTCATTTTTAAACTATTCTTTCAAGGTTCTCAAAGGATCTTATCTAGATTTTTATTTATTTTCACAACAGCTGGTTTCAAATGTTGTATGGAAGCTGTAATAAGCTGCTTTGTACTTTACTTCAATATTGATATAGTTTTTGGACCCTCGGGTCATTGTTACCCATAGTATTGTGTAGAATATACTGCCTAGGCCGGTGCAATTGCCATTCTCTATTATTATTAAAGTCAATCAATTTCACTTCTCTCTTTTGATCGAACACGATCCATGTTTATTCTCTCTAATGATTTTCATTCTCTATTATGATTGGACGCAATCAGTTTCCCTTCTCTCTTATGATTGGACTCAATCAATTTCTATTCTCCCTTTTGATTGGACTTAAAATCAATTCCATTCTCTCTTATGATTGGACTCAATCAATTTCCATTCACTCTTTTGGTTTGACTCAATCAATTTTTATTCTCTCTTATGATTGGACTCAATCAATTTCTATTCTCTCTTTTGGTTTGACTCAATCCATTTCCATTCTCTCTTATAATTGGACTCAATCAATTTCCATTCTCTCTTATGATTGGACTCAATCAATTTCCATTCTCTCTTATGATTGGACTCAATCAATTTCCATTCTCTCTTATGATTGGACTCAATCAATTTCCATTCTCTCTTATGATTGGACTCAATCAATTTCCATTCTCTCTTATGATTGGACTCAATCAATTTCTATTCTCTCTTTTGGTTTGACTCAATCAATTTCCATTCTCTCTTATAATTGGACTCAATCAATTTCCATTCTCTCTTATAATTGGACTCAATCATTTTTTATTCTCTCTTATGATTGGACTCAATCAATTTCTATTCTCTCTTTTGATTTGACTCAATCAATTTCCATTCTCTCTTATGATTGGACTCAATCAATTTCCATTCTCTCTTATGATTGGACTCAATCAATTTCCATTCTCTCTTTTGGTTTGACTCAATCAATTTCCATTCTCTCTTATAATTGGACTCAATCAATGCTCATCTCTCTTATGATCGGACTCAATCAAATTGAGTCTGCAGCTCTTAAGAGATCTCCCTTTTTGAAGCAAACAAGTAAACGGGATAAATTCAAACATAATTTCTTAAGATAAATAAATAGAAATATACTCTCTCCCTTACAACAAAAAGAATATTCAACACACTGACAGTCTTCAGGTCTACCTTAACATTGTAATATCAAGCTTAATTTCAATTGTCATATGACACTAAACGTCTCTTTTCAGTCTACATTTTATAAATATCTAGCCCTGGTGTACATAAACCTAAACTTTATTATTCCTTACTATCATTAGCTGATTTAAAATACGTTCAATACTTTTTGAAATAAATAAAAGTTGAGAAAAAAAAAACATAATCATAATCTAAAGATATAAACTGTTAGGAAATTACAGTGATTGATTGCAGTTTTGAGTAATTTTAGCACATTAAATTTAGTTTCATAATTGTGCAATGATAGATACAGTATTTTTGTGACATGTATCAACAAATAAAGCATTAGACACACCGCTTTAACCAAAAGATTATCAAATATTGTTATTTATTGAAAACTCTTTTCTATCTCTTTTTTTTTATTTTCTTGCTATTGATTTAATTTTGCTACATTGATATCCTTATTTACCTATCTTTCATTTGTATCATAATTGTCAGTATTATACAGTAAAGTGTTATTTCTGTGTATACATATATTTTGTAATTTTCAGGAAAGAATTCAAATCCAGACAAACCAATTTCAATGAAACGTTCTCATGGTTTACATTATCGGGATAACATCTTAAACCACTGGTCCCACCTTGGTATCAAGCTGGTGAAGTTTGCATTCTATAATGCTGACAAAGAAGTGGCATACGTGATCTTCAACGGGTGGGACAGCGACATACGCAGCTGGTTTGATAAGAAACGTGTGATCGATTCAAGCTGGGGAGACCTGACGTCAAAAAGTGCCTTCAACTATTTCTCTATTACAGGTCACTATGCCAAGGACCTTGATCGTCGTTTCTTCATCAACAAAAGTTATGGGGGATGTCCAAATGACCGAGGCTACCTTGCAGTTATCAATTCAGCTGTTGCCTCTCCTGCATGTTTGTTTGATGACCAACCATCCTACCCAGCGTTTATATATTCAAAATATAATTCGGCCGACTTCTTCCAGAGGAGAATGTTTGGTATTGCAGATTTCATGGTGGTTTTAATAAAGACATGAATGTTGCGTATCAATTCCTAACAATCCAACGGCATCATATATTTGCTTATTCTTTTCTTATAATATAGGCCTACTTATTAACTTTTTTCATTATATCAAGTTAACAATGTATCTGATATAAACTGTAAATTGTAGTTTTAAGACTCTTCTCTGGTTTATTTTTCTGACATATCTAAACAAATCTGTGGCATATATACAACCTGAATAGTGTGGTTATGTACATGTACATCTTAAAATAAAGTGGAGCAAAAAATTTCTTTAACAATGTCCATTTTATCTATCTTATACAGAAATAAAGTTTTAAAATGTACGATACATATAAGTTTCCTGAAAACGTCTCATTGTCATTTTGAAATAATTATACTTCATTTACTAGGCTGATATTCCTTTTCCCAAAATAATGGCCAGCACATTCTGCTTCATTGCACAAAATGGCCGCCAGAGCTATGAATAAAATATTGTCTGGCTTTCACATGTCAAACTCACCGAGTATATCCAGTTCTTAACGCAGGAGTGTACAAATAACGCAGGAATTGTGCAGAAGTAACACAGAATTGTGCAATTTAGTGGCTAAAACAAGCAATGTAAATGGACCTGTATTTTTTTTTACAATTGTACACCAAATTGGAAGAAATGAATTAGTGCATAGGGTTGATAAGACATTATACTTTAAACCTCATCAAAAATATTTCCATAAAAATGTAGTTTTTTTTTCTCAATATCATTCGTAAAAATGACGACCTAGCTGACAAGCGTATTGATGGCGATTTTTAGTTCCGTTGGTAACTACATATAACTTTATGATTTTTTTATTCGGTGTACCTGAGACATTTTCCAATCTACTCGTGTCATATTACACTTAATTTAGCAAATAAAACGTAACGTACTGAGGCCATTTTTACGAGGTAACGCCGAATTTGTTAATGAAACACTGAAACAACGGCGATTTTCTCATTAAAAGTAGCTAAATTCTATTTTACCAACTTCCTTCTATTGTTATACGACACTTGTAGTTTGATAAATGTCATAGGTATACAGAATATAAAATGTTTTAAATGTGTGAAATGTACATATTTACTTGACGAAATACAAAAGTCACCTTCAAATCTTAGGTTGATTTCTCACAAACGATTTAAAGAAGTAGACATAATATCCTCCATCCCCCCCCCCCCCTCACCCCCAACTTTATCTTTTTATATAAGTATTCTTGTTATTCGTGAATAAGACTAGAGTAATCGTACTTCAAATTAACAAATGGACACAGCAAACAAACATGAATGATAAATTTGATTTAACATAAAATTCAATGAATATTATCATAATTAATAGAAAATATTTGCCATTTTTCAACATATGCATGAAATGCATTCAATTAAATCTGTTATCTGAAAACGACGGGAAAATTTCCTAAAATTTAATTAACAATTTAACATTTGTAAGCATAAAATTTAAATCATCACACAAAACATATTATATTATATCATTTGGACTCGTACACAGCTTGAAGTCATATTGCGTGAGCCGATAGCCAAATATAGACCGTATTGTACAGTAAAATGTATAATAACCTTTTTATTCTATATCTTTCGTTTAATTTGAACAGTTAACATAATAATTTTTGTCTAAACAAATTATACATATAACAACTTACATTTATTATTAATATTTGTTTAATAAATATCATAATCATACATTGTATAACTGTAAATCAGAAAAATATCACATTTATCTCATCCATCACATTGACAATAGTATAACACTAACATTTGGCGCGTCTTAACGCAGCCGTAGCCTTGGCGTTTAAATGTCGTTATGAAACTTATTTTGTTTGTTTTATTTGTTTGTTTTAACTATTTAACACTGTTAATTTACATAATATAGGCGCGAATATAAGAATAATATTATACTGATTGAGAATAAAATATTTTTAGTGGTGTAAATCCGGTATTTTGAACGACATCAATAAATCAATAGCATGCGCTACCTATAAGTTTAATTTTCACAACGTGAAAATATTCTGGTTAACCGTCGTAGGTTGTTAGGCAACAAGGTAAACAAGTAAGAGAGAAGCTGTGAAAAATCAAAGCAAACAATAAATAAACATTGAAGAGATAAACAAGAGGTAAAGCTTTTAAGTTTATTTTCATGTTATTTTAAAAGACTGAAAAATAAATATTTAGATCAGTTTTTAGGCTACAGTAGAATTAACAATAAACAATAAATTTGAATAATTTTCTTTCCCAATGGCAATGACGCGCCATTTCAGGCATAACAATTCCGATGTATGATAAGTGTGTATGAATATAAACATTATTTCTAAGTCAAAGTCCCTGCTTTTCACTAAGTTTTAATGGTAGGGTGGTATGGTTAAATTTGACTGTTCTATTTAATTTCAAGGGACACTGAGTTCATCCAAAAGTTAAATTATGATGAAGAAGCTTATAACTTCTTGCCTTGGTCACATTTACATTGTGTGTAATATGCATGTAATGTTGTGACTCAAATGTCTTCATCAGGTTCATGTATATACATGTATGAACATGTATGTAATATGCAAATAATTTTGCATTGACTGCCGGGTATCTATGTGTCAACCCAGCAAACATTCCCATATCGGGCCGATATCGGCTAAATGTCGGAATATAGATGTCGGTTTCCGATATCGGGCCGATATCGGGCCGATATATATAATTGCACTGTTAAGTATTTTTTCCAATTATTGAGTATTCTATGGATTATTAATGTTAATCCATTTAGTATTTCATATTGTAAACATATTACAAAGTGTGCCAGTCGATTGATCAAAATTTAATCGATTCGTTTGCGATTTGCACAATAGCGTATTTTACCGCCGCACCGTTCATCCGGGTCTTTTACATTCTCGGCGCGATTTTGGAATCCAAGGGCGAAACAAGAGATCTGAGAAAAATCAACCTTTTATCTGGTGATTTCATGTATTTATTAAATACACTTATTTGGTTGTATTAAAGAAATGAGTGCTGTTGATATTTAAATATAATCCTGACAATATCGTAACAAAAACGTGATTTAACTTTTTGTAATGTATTTTCGCGACTAGCCTTCTTCTTCCGATTTTGTACATAATCCCACTCTTTTGGCATTGTCGTACATAGCCTGTTTTGCTATTTTGAAGTAACTATATCGTCTTATAAATGAACAGTGGTGTCAAAACATTATAACTATAACTAACCACAAACTAGTTAAGAAAATCAACAGAAACTAAGTGAAACTTTACTTAGTTTTGTTCACATTTTTTCAGGTGATCTATTTCATTCAAACAAGGATGCTTGGTTTCAAAAAGAAATGTAAAATTTATTAATTCTTGGTAAAGATGCACACAACTTGTTAACTAGACTATTACTGTGCATTGATTTATTTTGTTAAACATTAAATGTTAACATTTTTTCTTCACTCTGGAGCAACAATTCCCTAGAAACCTTCTCTGTTTTAACCTGTTTTTAACAATACACCCTGTATATTTCCGTTCTTTTATTCTTTTATCTTTTACCTTTTTTGTCGTTGACGCGCTACAGATATTTATATAATTGCACTGTTAAGTATTTTTTCAATTAATGAGTATTCAATGGATTATTAATTTTAATCCATTTAGTATTTCATATTGCTAAAATATTGCACAAGTGTACCAGTTGATTGATCAAAATTAAATCGATTTCGTTTGCGATTTGCACAATAGCGTATTCAACCTGTTTTTAACAATACACCCTGTATATTTCCGTTCTTTTCTTTTTTCTTTTTCCTCTGTTGTCGTTGAAAGATATAAAGATAGATAAAGATATTCCATTGGCCAGCGTAAAAATGCCATATCACACAAGTGTGCCTGTCGATTGATCAAAATGAAATTGATTTTGTTTGCATTTTGCACAATAGCGTATTTAACCTGTTTTTAACAATACACCCTGTATATTTCTGTTCTTTTTGTATCTCTTTTGTCGTTGACGCGTGACAGTCTAAGTCCCTACCAAGGGTTTGACTTATTGGAAGATATATAGATAGATAAAGATATTCCATTTGCCTGTGTAAAAAAACGCCATATCACATAATGTGCCAGTCGATTGATAAAAATTAAATCGCTTTCGTTTGCGATTTGGACAATAGTGTATTAACCTGTTTGTAACAATACACCCTGTATATTTCCGTTCTTTTATTCTTTTATCTTTTCCCTTTTTTGTCGTTGACGCTTGACAGTCTAAGTCCCTACCAAGGGTTTGTCTTATTGGAAGATAGATAGATAGATAAAGAAATTCCATTTGCCTGTGTAAAAAACGCCTTTTTAAGTGTTTTAAACTGATGTTCTTGATTACTTGACATCATTGTAGACATACAGCAAATACAATACCTGTGAACAGTGCACATGCAAAAATCTGCCATTATTTCTAGCATCATATAGCCACTTATAGTTTTCCATTTTGGAAACCCCTTTGAAAAGGTTTTCTTGAGTAAGGAAATTCTAGAACTGCAGCAATGCACAAGGCAAAAGATAAAAGTTATTATAAGACTTATAGATATGTTAGGTCAAAAGTAGCTCAACACATGTCTTCCGTTTATCAGGAAGTTGCACACAATGAAATGGACCCTCACATGCAAAGCAATTCAAGTATGGGAGGTGAAAGTGTAATTGATTTGTCAGAACAAAATCAAGAAACAAATGCAGTTAGTGATGACTTTGTATCTTCTGACGTTGCTCATTTTCAAGTAGGAACATCTTCCCAATCAGTTAAGATTGGTCCCCTAAGTTTTTCTGATGATTCAGACTCTTTAAGTTCAGATGATGATGATGATTATGATAGGGAAGAAACATTTCAAGATTTTTCATCATCAGATGATTGTGATGATGATTTTGAACTGGAAGACAGACTTTCTGAATGGGCAAGAAAATTTGGTGTTACCCACAATGCATTGCGAGAGCTATTGACAATATTGATTCCGCTTCACCCAAGTTTACCGAAAGATCCCAGAACATTGTTACGAACTTCTAATCACACCCAAATAAAACAGATATGCGGTGGGGTGTATCATCATTTTGGTGTAGAGAACGGGTTAAGAAGCCTGTTGCAACAGTTACCATGTGATCTGTTTCAACAGTCAAGAATGAAAATTGAGATTCAAATCAATATTGATGGATTGCCATTGTTCAAAAGTTCCAATGCTCAGTTCTGGCCGATTCTTGACGTGCAACAAAAACCAATTACGTCGAAACCTTTTGTTATTGGTCTTTACCTTGGAGAAAAAAAGCCTGTTGATGTTAATGAATTCTTAAAGGATTTCATTGAGGAAATGGTACAGATTCAAGAAAGCACCATTGCGGGTGCCTGATCTTGACACTGAGTTTGATGTTTCTATTTCATGTGTAATATGCGACACAACCTGCTCGCGCTTATGTTAAAAAGGTCAAAGGTCATTCTGGCTATTATGGATGTGACAAGTGGTTGTCAAAAAGGTCTGCGTATAGAAAATCGGATCACTTTTCCTGAGACAAAAGCAACGGAAAGAACGGATCTTCAGTTTGATGAGATGCAGGACACATTGCATATTTTGGGTGATTCCACATTGAAAGTTCTTGGCATAGGAATGGTCTCAAAGTTTCCACTTGATTACATGCATCTTGTATGTCTTGGCGTTGTTAAACGCTTGCTTGGCATATGGGTCAAAGGTCCAATTTGCAGCCGTCGACTTGCGCCATCTGCAATTCGTCGGATTTCTGATCATTTGCTGAATCTTGGTAAACATCTTCCTCGTGAATTTCTTCGCAAAGGCAGGTCACTGTTTGATGTAGATAGAAGGCTGCGGAATTTAGACAATTTTTACTGTACACTGGGCCAGTGTGTTTAGTTGATGTTGTTTCATCAGATGTTTATAACCATTTTATGATGTTGTCCGTAGCAATATATTGCTTATCTAGCCCCCTGTTTCATGAACGATATAATTTGTACCAGATTCTTGAGATTTTTGTCAAAGATTTTGGTAAACTCTACGGTGGCTACAATTTGGTTTACAATGTACATGGACTTGTACATATAGCAAAAGATGTCAGATCATTTGGACCACTTGAGCACTTCTCTGCATTTGTGTTTGAGAGCTTTTTGGGCAGACTAAAGCGGCTTGTGAGGAAACCAAATTTTCCACTTCAGCAAGTGATTAAGCGATTTTCAGAAAACTGTGTTGGAACTGAGGCTAAAAGTATACCTGTCTTGGGGGCAGTAAAAGGAGAACATTGTCATGGCCCTTTATCAATTGATGTTAATAAATTCTCACCGTTCTCTCAAATCCAGTTGCCATTAGCTTTTTTCTCTGTTCATAAAGGTAATAACTGTGTTCTCATTGGAAATAAAGTTGCCCTTATAGTGAATATTGTTTTGTGAAAGTCCAGAGCATCAGAAATTCCTTGTCGTAAAAGAATTTCTGCAAAAAACAAATTTCTTTGATATTCCTCTCCCATCTTCTGATTTAATGATTTATACAGTAAATAATTTGTCTACAGAATGCAAGGTTTATAGTATTGAAGATGTTGTGTGCAAATTTGTTCTCATTCCTTTTCGCGACAGATTTGTCTCCATGCCTTTGGTACATACATTATAGCGTTTCAGTCTAGTGAAAAAAATTAATGCCTCACAGGACATGCGGCAGATAATTTCTAAATGTTAACCAGTCATGGCCAATTTTTAGCTGTCGCACAATTGAATATTGAGCAAATTTTGACAAGTTACCCAGAGCTCCAGATAGCGTACGTATAAACGTAAAATACGCATGTAAAATCTAAAATACGCATCACTTTCAAAATTCGTGCGTCAAAATTACACACAACAAAATGAAAATACGCTTGTATGTCAAAATTTAAGCATGAAAGAATAGAAGTGTAAACATTTGATATTCAGATTGAGGATGTTTTGAGCATAAAAATACAATATATTTCCATTTTATTGCATTGAAAACTAAAAGTTCTGTTATCAACAACGCGTGTTAAAAACGAAAGTAGCAGGAAGTACAGAAGAGTGTAACGCCCGTAGATCAACCTGTGAAATTATTGATATAAATTTTTGCCAGATAATCATCGTAGTCGTTAACATAGTATTAAGTTTGTTTAGGCATCTATTAACATGCTTATGTCTCAATATAAACAAAAATATATTTTAATTTCTTTCACTTTTGATGTTGAAACACATGCACATGTTCTGCGGGCTGATAACTAGTTCTCGGCCTCGGGCCGCAAACTCATAATAGGTCACGTGACACTCATAATCAGTTGAAATCATAGGCAATTTTGTTACTATATATAGTAACAAGTGTATTAAAGAAACATTAGGCCTTTTTCCTATTTTTACCCTTTTATTAATATGCTCAACAGCACTCATACAAATAATATAACTGAAAAGTGTGAAATAAAATATTGAACAATTACATTCTTATATACAATAGGTCAATATGTACATCCTTGTGGAGTTTTTGGATGACCATGAAGTCGCCATTATCCCGGACAACTGGTTGAGTGGGACAAAGTGCGCTGTTTGGCCTGTCCACTTTAAAGACACCCGGAAGGTTGAATCAGCTGTTAAAAATAAACTGGCGCCAGGAGATTCATGGCCAGCATTGCCAATCCGAGAGATGTATAGAAACAATGAGTTAATATACACATGGAAACATTCAACTTTCTTTGAAATGTAGATAATGCTCTATTTTATGAATCCTTTTCTTTTATAAATTATGTTGTATATGTGCAAATTAATTCAATGGATTTGTCAAGATGATGTTCATGATATACAGAGAAGCAAACATAGGGATGTGACCTAATATTGTAGTGGCCTGTTTAAATTCTTATGGCAATAGTCTCCTGCTAGCCTTAACACCTAATTAAATATATAAATATGTTTTTGTTCTCTTCCACAACATGAATGAATGTACATCTGTATTGATTTTAAGAGAAAAAATAGGCATTTTAAAATTAAAAACAGTTTAAATAAATAAAATGAGTTGTAGCAATTAACGATTAAGCATTAAATGTTTTACAAATCTTTTACAGTGTCCTACAGCAGTGTGAGAAAAAATTTAAAAAAAATCAGAAATGGAGTCCGATTTGGCGACACAAAGCCCAAACAGTGACTCGGAAGAGGACAGCAGGCGACCCAAACGCAAAAAACAGTAAGTTCCATTATATGGCATTGTAGCATGCAATCTGTTTTTTATTCACTTTCAGTTTTTTAAAAATCATTTGAATAATGTTCTATCAAACTTCTTATAATCCCAATGTGATTTTATAAGCCCCATGCTTCAGGCTTTATGTATTAGTGTGAAGACTGAGGATCCTGGATGCTGTAATTGTTAAAAGTAAATGTTAAAAATAATAAAAATATATTTCAGACTTTACTTTGTTTTTGACACATGAATAAATAACTTATAGATTGGCATTTATTAATAATTCAGGCTTCCTGCACGACTGTACTTGTCATCCGAGGATGAGCGAGAGTTGCCAATATCCCCAGCATCCCCGTGTCAGGATAACATGTGCAGCCTTCCACAGAGGCCATCCCCATTGAAGACTGGTTGCTATGAAACAAGTCTGGCTAGATCCCACTCCCAGCAACCTGTTCCTGCCACTGTACATACAAGTACAACGCCTGCCAGGAGTACAAGTACCCCTTCTGTGAGAGACTGTGCGTCAGCTACCAGTACCAGTGTTACCGGGACTCCACGTTCTGAAGCGGGTATGTGTATTTTCTTATGCTGAAAACTGAAACAAGCTATTTATACTATTTGTTTGCTGGTTGATATTACAGAAACGCCATGTACCAAGACTATACTGTATATTGCTAAGAATTTCACTTTTCCCATGAAGAGTTATTTATTAATAAAATATATACTGGTCCATAAGTAAAAGATATGATGAAGGTATAATTTTTAGTTTCTTGAAAATGTAAAACTCTAATACGCAGTGAATAAAAAACTGAATATATAATGACAAATATTTTAATTATCAAATTTCAGTGAATAATGACAAATATTTTATATTATTTTCATTATAAGATTGTTAACATCCTTAATAACTGAAACACTGTTGAAAACTAGCTAATCTAAAAAAATATTTGCGTAAACTATTTAAATAAACTAATCCTTACAATTATGGTGCTATCAAATGTATATGCTATTCAGTGTCCTACATTTTTTACTTTTTAGCTCGGGATATCAGAATGTTTACACTAATGGAAGCCATGTCCAGACGTCAAGTTGAGCTCCTGGAAACCATGAACCAGGTGCTGGGCATTGTTTCGAAGATGGCCAAGGTGGAGGGTGTAAGGTCGTCGGAGAAACCCGAAAACCTCAACTTACCTGCATCCACCAGCGAGGAGCTAGAGGCCCTTGAGGCGGCACTAGAGGAGGGAGAATGTTTTAATGGCTTGGTGAGTTATTATTTTAAAGGACTAAAGGAATCCAGATTAGCAGATATTCAGTAGCTATTGATGCATGTTTCTTAGCTGTGTTGAAGAAGTGTATTTGTGTACATAAATCATAGTTTTTGCTTTAGAGTGCTCGATGATTGATATTGCCTCGATTCAAACTATAAAAAAGTTTTTTTCTTGTGACATTTATTTTGTTAATAAAAGATATCCTTTCAAATGCAACTTTAAGTAAGTTTCCATACATGCTGTACAGCACTTTTAATAAGAACTGGTATAAAGGACATATTTTTATATCTTGTCAAAATAAAAGCTTAAATCTAAGACACTGAGTTTAATTCCTGATTATATATGATGAAGGATGTTTGTTACTTACAAAGTATGCAATCACCAAAGTCAAATACTAAGACTAAATTTAAGAAAAACTCTATTTTTATTGAGTTGAAAATGTTAAATATGGCTAGAGTGAATAAATGATAAATTGCTATCGATTAAATATTTTGTTGGAAATTTTATTGCAGGTTTCGTATCTATCAGTGCAAGGCGGGGTCTCTACGGCAGACATGGTGAGGCGGGTAATGAGGCAATGCTTGACAAACCAGTTGGCAGTCCAGTTCAACTGGTTTGGAAAGAAGGGCAAAAGAGCCTTTGGAAAACTCAAGCTGGCCCAGGCAGTGACAAGTAAGCAAATGCTCCTTGATTAAATGGTCAATTAGTAGAACATGTGTTTATAACAGTACTTAAGTCGCATACAGTGGGACAGACCATATACACACACTCTAGATAGTACATATATAAAACTGAACGTTTTTAATGTAGAATAGAAGTTTATAATTTATCACTGCGGAAAATTTAAGTAATTTAATAGGCATATTATAGTCAAAATTTTGTGTTAGAATGCAGACATGATGCATAGCACCCTGCCCACCCCATAAAAACGTGGAGGCATGCGTTAAATGATTAACTCGTTGTTTTATTTGCTCTCATTTTTATTTCAGAAGCAGTTATGAAGTGCAAGAAGTGCACAGCAGTCGAGGTGGAACTTGGTTGCAGAGAATGGTTTAGGATGGCGAGTGACAGGGACGGGGGCGTAAGAAGCGCAAAAGACCATCATCATCCATGGGTGAAAGTTTTCAGGATTAGTCCTGAATTGACGCATAGAAAATTCCATATTTTCCTTATTAGTTTCTTTTGAAACTGCTTGTCTAAGTGCTGTTTAGGATTTTCAAAATTTTCAAAATTTCATCCATCTTTCACACATCTGAAATGACGCAAAAATAAACTACTCTCTAAATGACTTTGGGGATTAACATTTGCAATCACCTTGTTTTTGTTTTTTTGCTAGCAGAATACTCTTCTATGGTTTATCAATATTGAATGCATGCATAAATCTTATATGATTTTTACTGTACCTCAATCATTATATTTTATTTTATTATTATCAGTAATATATTATTCAAATACTCTAGCCATTTACATAAATTGTTGTTTTCTAACCATGCATAATTGCTAAACTAAATAGCCTTAGTTCTGTGATTTTACATATTTAATGATGTGTTTTACATGTTGTACATTTTCATTTACTTTTGTTTAAACTTTTATTGACTGTATTGTTTTTGTTGTCAGATATGTATTAATCTATTAAACATTTAATGATAGCTAATAGTCTGGAAAGAGATTTGCATATCTTTATTTCAATTTAAAAACTGCAGGTTATTATAAGGTTGTTTATTGCTATTGTGATTTTTAAATATGTGAATTTAATATGGTTGTGATGTGCTGCAATCCAAGTCGTTTTTGTAGAAAGTTGTTACAGTATTACCTAGTCACAGTATTACCTAGTCACAGTATTACCTAGTCATTTTTATGTTGGTAAAGATGTATATCTGCATTTATATTTTTTGTGTTGTTTTTAACAGAAACATGAATTCCTTCTAGTCAGAAACAATGTGTGTTGCAAAATAAGCCCTATTATAGTTCTCTTATATTTTGTTAATTTTTTTTTTATTGTGACTTGGGACATTGGTATTTTAATAGTAATTATGACTGAGTTATATAACATTTTACATGTATGTGAGTTCTAGTCGTTTTCACATAAAGTAACTGTATATATTATTTGTTTGTATAGTTCCTGAACATTTAAGGACAACTAATATTTAATAACATTGCTGTAGTAAAGCGATGCAAGTTCTTACAACACTCTGTATTCTACAATTTCCAGTAAATTTGATTAGTTTACTACAATCTTTTTATATCTTAACCATACATTATGGGTTACTTTTTTTAATTACATCCTCTTAAGAAGAAATTGTTTAGCAACAGATGAATATGAATTTCCTCATATATTCTATTAATTGTGCATTTGAATGAACAGAACATTGTGTTTTATATAAGTAATCTAGATTTTACCATGTAAATTGTTTACTGACAGTGAAATAGAGAATACAGCGATCGTGTATGTAAATTCCATAGTCTCTATAATTCTTTATAGAATGATCTCATGAGCTCAAAAGTAGCCTTAAATTTATTGGTTTAAATAAATTTGTTGAAATCGATGCATTCTTCTGTTTTTCTTTTGCCCCTATCTTATTTGCATTGGGGTTTAACTATCAAGAAAAGGGAGTTTTAGCGAGAAAAAGCGATAACCTGTGAATGTCGGCACAATATCGGCTGTATGTCGGCAGCTGATATCGGTTGCCGATATCGGCCCGATGTGTAGCCGAGTTGCACATCCGACATCGGGCCGATATCGGCAGCCGATGTCGGGCCGATATAGAACCCAATATCGGGCCGATGTCGGGCCGATATAAAATGTTTGCTGGGAAAGAAACCACTATTGTGTGGGTTTGTAATTATGTTTACCTGGGATGAATAGTATTATTACATAATACCGTTATTAGGGTTTTTAAATACAAGCAAAATTAAATATCGACCTGGTAAAACTTCTATTCCAGCTAATATTGTAAATCATCAAATATCCCCGCCACTTTGGCGACTCAGTAAAATCTATATTGCGCAAACAAGCATATATGTTGATGTGATCTATTCACGTTATAGTATCAAACATTATAAACATAAAGATGCAGGGAATGTCAGCACTACACTATAAGGGTGTCATTGAAAAAGTGATTCTTTTTACTGGAAGCAGTTCATATTTTTGATAGGCAATAAACTGACAATATTATATTGGTGTAGCTATTGAATTCATTACTAAATTTATTGAACATGATTAATAAAATTATATTTTGCTTACCAGAGGCAAGCATAATATAATTTTATTCAACAAGACCGAATGAACAAATTCAGTATTGAACCTATATTGTTCAATATACTTAAAACATAACACTTAAGTATATGTTAATGTTCATCCGTGCTGTTCTACAGAAATTAGAAACTTCGACAGGAGCGATAGCGACAGGAGAATGTTTCTAATTTCTGTAGAACAGCTACGGATGAATACTAACATATTAAGTGTCAAACTTTATTTGGCCTCATAATCACTCACTTTATTACTTCACTATGCGGTTCTATGAAGTACTATGAAAAATAGAAGTCGAATATGAACGGAATTTGATATAGTATCAACTATTGTTCTTCTATGAAAATTAACGCACAGAATTTTTAAGAAATACAGTGTTTTCATTGGATGACAAATAAAGTTGGACACTAAATGAGTTTAGATACCTAAAAGCTTTCATGTAAGTTAGTGTAATAAAACATGACTTATGTATGAGTTATGCCTTGGCAAATGTGCACTGAATAGAGAATACATGATTTGCAATGAAGTTAAGTGTTTATAATGGTTGCATAATTTATAAAATATTACACTAAGTAAACTGTATGATATATGTTTTGCGTAAGAAATTTATTATGTTACTGTTACGTACATTAAATTATTCTATCATTATTCAAAGTACTTAAAGTCACAAATTTTGCATATTCAATTATGATATTATTCAATAATGAATAATTGCCAATTATAAAGAAGTTAAGCTTGGTTTTTGAAAATAAAGATGAAAAAAGGTGAAATAATTTACAAACCTCAAGTGTACATGATCTTTTAAACTTACAACTTGAGTTCAGTATACAACACTTTGTGTTTGTATAACAGAACAGTGTACTGTTTAACAGTGGTTAATTTCACACTGTTACCATTATTTTCTTCACTTTCTTTCTTCATTCAAGTACACTGTACTTGTAGACCTCTTTTTCATAAAGGTAAAATAATCCCTGGTTGAATTTCAAACAATTTAAAAGGTTACATAAACTTGAATAAACCAGATAGAAATTTAAAGTTCAATGATTTAAATCCCTGCTGAGACAGTTTTTTTTTACTTGCATATTAAATGTTTTATTACTTAGAGATACATTAAGTGCTAATTAAGTATTCAGAAAAGATTCAAAGGGGACTTAACAATATATAAATAAAAGGTATCAACTTGATTATATAAAAGTAAGATAAATTTATCTTCAATCTAATATTTTCATTCATCTATGTTATTTATTCATAGATTGTTCTTTCCACTATTATGCTAGCTTATAGACAAAATAATATATAAAGTATGAATTGTAAATCTGAATCATTATTTGAAATTGCAACAAACATTCCTTGAATTATTTTACTTTTGATTTTTCACTAACTATAATATCTTGCTTAAATGTAATTTTGGGCAATATATTTCATTAGGCTAACTAGAGATTTTTTTAAAATGCGAAATATGTTTAACCTTCAAAGTTTGTCTGACTGTCTTTTAAATATTATAGCTGTCTTTATAGAGTTGCTTATATTTAAGGTTCAAGTTTGCTATTTTATACAATATTCCATCTTTTATATTTTGCAGTTTCAAAGACCTGATTTTTATTGTGGGTCAAATGTTATATAAGCTTTTATAATATTGTGGTATTTTTTATTCTTTTTTCAGAAATGGCTGCAGTCACTGCCCAAAGTCCCACCAGTATGAGTCGTGCAAAGGAATGGAGCCCGGAGGCCGAGGAGGCCTGGAGATTCCAGGTAGCTGGTTATAGAGATGAACTTGACTACAAAAATAACAAGAAGAATAATTATGACAAGGTATCAGGAATAGACATTACATTTTTGCTTGCTATATCAATTTTCCCACTTAAATTACCAGCTGATGTAATTTTCCAATTTGATCTTGAAAGATTTTGCCAAAAAATGTCAATTAACATTTGGTGCTACAACTTTTGAAATGAAAATCAATAAATGCATAAATTATGCATTTTAAGGCACTTTTAATTTTTTTTTTTTTTTAATATTTTTTTTAATCAACTTTGAGAAAAATGTACTAAGTCAAGATTTATTGAAAGGTAAAAAAAAGATTATTCACAATTCAAGAAAATATATTTACATCTTATATGCAATTAATGACTGATTTGCAGTACTTATCACCATATTAATTCTACTGCATGACTAAACACAATTAGGGCTCTTTTTGCATAACAACTACAGAACATGCAAATGGACAAAATATTAATTACCATCTAAACATGTAATTTCCTTAAAATAATAACTCATTTTGTAATATTCAATATCTGAATTATCAAAGTGATTGCTAAATTCATATACTTTTCACAACACTCAATAATTTGCTTACAAACAATTTTACATTATATTCATTCATTCATTCATACATTCATTCATTCATTCATTCATTCATTTATTCATCCATTCATTCATTCATTCATCCATCCAATTCCATCCATCCATCGTAGTTCTTTGTAACTATTTATAATGGTTAGTAAGCTCTAACAAGTTTTCGCATTTAAAGATGACATATAGTTTTGCAGCACACTCTGATGCAACATGTGAATTTCCAGTTTGACTATCAGAATTAAGCCTCTAATTAATGTTTGATTTTGTAAATGTTGGGTGTACAGAAATCATAAAAGTTTTCAATATAAACCTAAATCTGCATTTCTTTTCAAGGCATCATGTTGTTTTTTTTTTCCTTTTGGAGCAGGTAGATAGATGGCCACACAACGGCTATGTGAAGAAGTTGCAACGAAAAGATGGGTGCTGGTATTACTACAGTAAAGGGAGAGAACTCTTGGACAAAGATATACCAAAATGCAAACTCTATGTCTACTGAATCCCGTACAATATAGCACCATTGTTCATAAAATCATTTTGCCATTTAGTTTATGTTTGTTTGTTTTATTTCTGTCAAATGAATATACACAGTTAAGCAGCCTACCTTTGTTTTTTGTAAACAGAAAGGGGGAAAATCAAAAAATATATATAATATACAGTATGCTTTATAGAGGTGGAAAGAAAGAACAATCTGTTATATTTATTTGCCTTATTCATTGATGAATGATTGATGTGTATGGAAAATTTAATCAACAAACTGTGCTAAGTTTAAAAGGTTTTAACTGTTAGAAAGGGACTCTACAGTGAATATTTTTTTGTATATGTACAGTAAACATTTGTGCCTCATAACTGTAAAAATGGTTACCATGATAACAATTCATCTATTTTTTGGGAGACAAGATATTTTAACAAAATTTATTGAAAACCAGTATATAAGTAAAATGTAATGTCTGCTTTCTTTTTCAAATCTTTCTTTTTTATTTTTTTTTGTTTAAATTAACAAGTCAGATGGTTTTTAATTTAGGCTTACACATATATTTCATATTGTCTGGGACTGAGACATAAAATGAACATTCGTTTGTGTCCGGTGGCAGTTATTATGTTTGGAATTCATAACTTTGTATAAATTTGCTTGAATGGTTACAACATTATTTTCCATAGTCACCCTTCATTTTTTTATGCATTATTTCCCTTACATTTATATTATAATCAAATGTGTTATTTTTGTGTTCACTGTTTTTAGATGGTACATGTATTTAACAGGTTGTTTTAAGGTACATGTGTCCTGTATCCAGATCTAATCTGCTGTTAAAACTACCCTTAACTTATATATTCAAATGGCTGCAAAATATTTTTTTTATAAATTTTAATTATATACTAATGTGAATAAACTAGCCATGTAGTAAAATGTATGATTAGAATAATTAAGTATTTAGGGCCTGCAGGGCCGGCAGAATTTGATATTGTCCGTTTATGTCTGAAGCATTTCTTCTTAATAGCCTATGATATTTTATGAAAACTTCTTCTGAAAACCTAAGCAAAACGGACTTTTGATTTTGCCGCCCTAAAGAAATGTCGATCTGTGTCACAGTCTGCAATCTTGCCATTGGTCAGTTTTCAAATTTGAGCACTTTGGGGCAGCCAATCAGATTGTTTAGCTTAAAAACCGGATCTCAGTGTCGTTTGCATCTTGTATAATCAAGGTTAAATCGTTACTTTAGTGCAGGAACGGGTTAACTCTTATTAAATTTTATAAGAAGTTAACCCGTTACTGAAATAACGAATGCATGAAGGTCCTAATAACTTTTTTTCCGATTCTTGTGTAACTCTATGGTGGTGATAACATTAATTTTCCATATATTTCTGTTGAATGAATGTGAATAAGTAACTGGTAATTATCAGTGGGTGTCACTTATTTCCATAACAGCGATAAAGAAGTATATTTTCTATTTACATTTTTCTTTACTATCTTATAGAAAGGGAGAGAAGTTAGACTCGATTGTTGTCTTAGTGTGGGTTAAATTTCATTTAGAAATAACTGCACGTACTAAATTTGTGATAAATTATATATTTGTATATTCCTGAGTGCTGGATGCACTGCCACGAAAATTGTGCACATTTTGATTTTCGTATTTATTCTCCAATCTAACTGCAATGTGTTTTAATTCCTTGTATTTTTTCCAGAATTTTGCCAGAGGAAAATATGCACGAAATTATATTTTTGACTTAATAAATGTCAGTTTAAAATGGTTTTGTTATTTTTGTTGTGTCTTTTATTTAAGTTAATTATCTTTTCGTTGCTTTATCAGGGTTTGAAGAGCCATTCCGAAATCAAGGTACATTCATGCCAACTGGAAATCCTGCGCGCGGATGTGTGGTTAAACTCAACATGTTGATGATGGGAAAGCCTTTGCCCTTGGGCCCTCTATCACAGATATCTATATTTAGCTCCATGCCCCTATTAACTAGCCCTAGTCTACAATGTTGATAGTCTTAAACCCTTGCCACGCTAAAAATAATAAATGGTCTTGACCATCTTTCAATTTGAACCTAACTGTTCATCATTTTAGGGAAAATTTCTAGATATGTATTTACTGAATAACACACTTTGCAGACCATGATAAGGAAGTATGGATGTGACAGCTGATCTTTGGTCTTCACGTGTCGCACGGGTAGATTCATTCGAGGCCAGCAGGCTAAATGGAAGACACGGCAAATAGGAAAAAAATATCAATTTGGAGAGCATAATAATTGGCATTGTGGAAAAATGCACGGTCCGAGTCCAGACGCGTAGGAATAACTCTTACACGACTGGAACCAAAGAGTATAGAGCTGGCCAGCCTGCACATGTGTTCCGTATTACAGGTTCGATTCTAAAATGTTGACTAACTTTGATTTTTATCTTGATGTCCCAAAATAGGCAATGGACCGTTCTTAAAATAATGGAAGTTGGACAATTTCATTTAACGCTCCTTCACAAAATAATGCTGGTGAAGTAAAGCTTACATATCTACATGTTTGCATACCAAAAATCAAGATCTGAGATGTTAAATGTAGGTAGGAAAGTAGCGAGCTACCTTAATATACTCGCATGTGTTGAAAAACGAATTTTGTCACGTAGAACTTCCGGGTTTACTCGCATATGAACCCCACTTTTGCTTTAAATTTCATTTGCAATTTAAAACGCAGAAATCATGGCAGACGTACGTTCAGATTTCGCGCGAGTTGTAGCAGACGTGCGTTGCATTCGGCACGTGCTATGACATACGCTCGTACAGGTGTCGCGAGTGATGATGATGTATCTCTTGTACATGAATAGAATTAAATATCTTTAGGTTCCAAGCTTTTTGCATGCGGTCGTAAATTGGACCATAATGTAATGAACAAGACAAATCTGAATGTACATGTAAAAAAACTGACGCTCATACCCGATACCGAACAATACCCAAAGGACATTTGTGCAAAGGGAATGTACTCCGGTTTTACTATAAAATCTGCAGAAATGAGTTAGCCTCCCTTTTTAAATTCTGAACGTTGTATGACCTTTTTCCGTGAGCTGATAACTAGAGATTCATCTTGATAAAAAAAACAGGTATCGAGTTTAAACCTTCACTTGTTGCTTTCGTGTAATGCAATTAATTCTTGAATAGTCTAATTATAAAGGCACATTATGCTTCAGATATTCATGTTGTTTTTTTCAAATTCTTTAGAAATGTGAAACGTGTTTAATAATGTTTAAATGAAGGATTAAAAGCATGTTAGATGTTTAACCGCTGAAAATTAGCGCTTAATATGCAGTTATATGTCCTAACGGTAACAAAGAAGTATTTTGACTAAATACTATTTATAGCGATTGTCGACAGAACAAAAGACATAGCTTAGGTAATTAGCAAATTAGTTTATTATCTGATAACTGCAACAAGATACCAAAAATAAACAGATAAAGGGAGGACATCTCTTTGTCATATGAGAACGGGAATTCTGTGATGCGTGTATGTGGTCGCATGGTCACTTTTCTTCCATCATTTCATCGATACGTGCATGTGGTCGCACGATCACTATGCTTCCATCATGTCCTCGATGCGACTCTCGGTCAGGCGGTTCATTTTTTCCCACTCTGTGACTGTGACCATTTTTAAACCCTTATGTTAAATTATTACATTTATTTATTTTTATAAAAGAACAAGTAATAATCCACCCATCCATTCGTCTGTCTAACTAACCAAACGTCCGTCCGTCCAACCATCCACCCATCCGTCCGTCAATTCATTTATCAAATCATCAATCCGTCAATCCATCCATCCGTCAATTCAACAATAAGGCAATCCATCCACCCATCCACCCATCCATCTAATCAACCATCAATCCGTAAATTTAACAAACACAAAAAAAAACAAAGCCCCAGAAAACATGTAGGACAGAGCTATAATTTGACAAGTAACAGGCAACTGTCTGATTCATTGAAGAGAAACTTGTTAATTTGTTTCCGTCGAACATTTTCTCAGTAAGATCAATCCCTTGGGATTTTCAGTTTGTGTTCTTTGAAATCACTTGCCGGAAAGTTTCCTTCAACTCTTTCTTCTTGGTTGAAAGTTTGTGTTTTTATTTTGCCATAATAACATAAAAAACTTACAATACATGCATGGTTTTATCGGTATGTGAGAAGTTAGCAGTGAACAGTGAGCTAAGCAAAAAGGCATTTCAATTTATATAGGGAAGGTAATGATCTGCTGTAATGCTCAGCTGTTTTGGGCATCTAGCAGGGCATTCCTAAATATAGTATAAAAATGCTCTGCTGCAATACTCAGCTGTCTTGGCAATCTAGCAGAGCATTCCTAGCTTTAGTGAAAAAATGCTCTGCTGGAACGCTCAGCTGGCTAGGCAATCTAGCAGTGCATTACTAAATATAGTGTTAAAATGCTCTGCTGGAATGCTAAGCTGGCTAGGCAATCTAGCAGGACATTACTAAATATAGTGTACAAATGCTATTCTGGAATGCTAAGCTGGCTAGGCAATCTAGCAGGACATTACTAAATATAGTGTACAAATGCTATTCTGGAATGCTAAGCTGGCTAGGCAATCTAGCAGGGCATTCCTAAATATAGTGTAAAAATGCTCTGCTGGAATGCTAAGCTGGCTAGGCAATCTAGCAGGGCATTCCTAAATATCGTGAAAAAAAATGCTCTGCTGGAATGCTAAGCTGGCTAGGCAATCTAGCAGAGCATTACTAAATACAGTGTAAAAATGCTCTGCTGGAATGCTAAGCTGGCTAGGCAATCTAGCAGGGCATTACTAAATATAGTGTAAAAATGCTCTGCTGGGATGCTCAGCTGGCTAGGCAATCTAGCAGGGCATTACTAAATATAGTGTAAAAATGCTCTGCTGGAATGCTAAGCTGGCTAGGCAATCTAGCAGGGCATTGCTAAATATAGTGTAAAAATGCTCTGCTGGAATGCTAAGCTGCTAGGCAATCTAGCAGAGCATTACAAAATATAGTGTAAAAATGCTCTGCTGGAATGCTAAGCTGGCTAGGCAATCTAGCAGAGCATTCCTAAATATAGTGAAAAAAAATGCTCTGCTGGAATGCTAAGCTGGCTAGGCAATCTAGCAGGGCATTCCTAAATATAGTGAAAAAAATGCTCTGCTGGAATGCTAAGCTGGCTAGGCAATCTAGCAGAGCATTACTAAATACAGTGTAAAAATGCTCTGCTGGAATGCTAAGCTGGCTAGGCAAACTAGCAGAGCATAACTTAATATAGTGAACAAATGCTTTTCTGGAATGCTAAGCTGGCTAGGCAATCTAGCAGGGCATTACTAAATATAGTGTAAAAATGCTCTGCTTGAATGCTAAGCTGGCTAAGCAATCTAGCAGGGCATTACTAAATATAGTGTAAAAATGCTCTGCTGGAATGCTAAGCTGGCTAGGCAATCTAGCAGGGCATTCCGAAATATAGTGTAAAAATGCTCTGCTGGAATGCTAAGCTGCTAGGCAATCTAGCAGAGCATTACGAAATATAGTGTATAAATGCTCTGCTGGAATGCTAAGCTGGGTAGGCAATCTAGCAGAGCATTACGAAATATAGTGTAAAAATGCTCTGCAGGAATGCTCAGCTGGCTAGGCACTATAGCAGAGCATTCCTTAATATAGTGAAAAAATGCTCTGGTGGAATGCTCAGCTGGCTAGGCAATCTAGCAGAGAATTACTAGATAAAGAGTAAAAATGCTCTGCTGGAATGCTCAGCTGGCTAGGAACTATAGTAGAGCATTCCTTAATATAGTGAAAAAATGCTCTGGTGGAATGCTCAGCTGGCTAGGCAATCTAGCAGGGCATTCCGAAATATAGTTAAAAAATTCTGTGGTGGAATGCTCAGTTGGCAGACTAATTCTGAGTTCCAGGATTTATTGTTGCCAAACTTTTATTGACATGTTCGACTTCTAGGCAATTCTGAGGCACTCGCAGACTTTCAGGTATTTTCGGTGCCAATAGAAATAATGATATTTTTGACTTCTAAGGACCTTTAAGAGACTATTTCATTGTCCTGCGACTTTTTGAAGGACACTCGCAGACTTTCAGGAATTTTGGTGCCAATGCTGATATTGACAATTAAGACTTCTAGGGACCTTCAAGAGTCCATTTTGGTCGTCTGCGACTGATTCTTGGACACTCGCAGACTTTCAGGAATTGATGGTGCAAATGGAAATAATCATATTTTTGACTTCTAGGGACATTTAAGAGTCCATTTCATTGGCCTGCAGCGTATTGTTGGACACTCGCAGACTTTCAGGAAAGTTTGGTGCCAATAGAGATGATGGCACTTTTTTTACTTCAAGGGACCCGCCAGAGTCCATTTTTATGGTCTGCGACTGATTCTGGGACATTCGCAGACTTTCAGGATTCTCTGGTGCCAATGGAGATAATGACATTTTTGACTTCTAGTGACCCGCCAGAGTACATTTCTTGGGTCTGCGACTGATTCCTTGAGACTCGCAGACTTTCAGGATGTTTAGTGCCATTGCAGATCATGACTTTTTTACTTTTAAGGACCCCTTAGTCATAAGCAGAGCATTTTTACCCTAAAATGTCATTATCTGAATTAGCACCAAAAATTCCTGAAAGTCTGCATGTGCCCAATAATCAGTCGCCGACCAACGAAATAGACTCTGGCTGGTCAAAAATGTCATAAATTGTAATTATCTCTATTGGCACCAACAATTCCTGAAAGTCTGTGTCTGTCAAAGATTAAGTCGCAG